CCTTAGCCACTTGAGCCACAGGCGCCAAGCCGAGAACAACTAGATTAAAGCAAATTGGTCTAAACGGGCAATGGTGTATTTCTCAGCATGTAGTCATTTTAAATTCTTAGATGAATTTAAAAAGTTATCTTGGTACATGACTTTCAGGCTATACATTGATAAGTTACTCAGCAGTACCAATGACAGTGATATCTGTCTATCCATCTGTCTATGCATTTATTTATTGGTTTTGTTTTCCAGAAAACCGTGGACTGCATGACAACGATGTCAGTGCCTTCCACCCTGGTTAAATGTTTATATCTGTTTTTTGACCTTCCACATGTGCCTGAGGCAGTTGGAGGTGCACAGAACGAGCTACCTCTAGCAGAACGTCGAGGACTACTCCAGAAAGTTTTTGTACAGGTATGAAGGTGCTGTACCTGGTGATCTACATGGCTCTGTTGAAAGTGAAATGAGTGCATTTCTCAAATAGGTATACTACATATCCCATTCTGTATAGTATGTCATTCTTGTATTTTAATATTATGTTATCTTGTATGATTATCATATTCTTGAATCTGCAGAAAAATATTAAACTATTGAGGACTATTTGAGTGAGGCATTATTAGAAAGTTTGTTTCTCTGAACAGATCCAGCTACTAATATTATGTTTGATATATCTTTTTATTTAAAAGAGTTATTTCAAGCAGGGTTGTGGGTTTTATTTATTTTATTTTATTTTTCTTTATTTTTCTTTTTTTAAACAGAGTCTTACTTGGTCATGATCAACAGAGTGCTGTGGCATCTTAGATCACAGCAACCCCAAATTCTTGGGCTCAAGTGATCTTCTTGCTTCAGCCTCCCAGGTAACTGGGACTACAGGTGCCCGCCACAATACCTGGGTATTTTTTAGAGACGGGGTCTTGCTCTGGCTCACGCAATCCACCCTTGGCCTCATGCCTCTCCCAAGTGCTGGGATTATAGGCATGAGCCACTATGCCCAGCTACATTTGATATATCAATAACATCTCTAAAACAAGTCAGGAAAACTTTTTTGAAAATTAAGATTTGGGTAATATTTCTGATAACGTTAAGAAATTATGGCTAGACACAATGGCTCATAGCCTGTAATCATAGCATAGAAGAGGCTGAAGCGGGTGGATTGCTTGAGCTCAGGAGTCTGAGATCAGCCAAGCAAGAATGAGACCCCATCTCTGCTAGAAAAACTAGCCAGGCATCCTGGTGGGTGCCTATATGTCCCAACTACTCAGGAGGCTGAGGCAGGAGGATCACTCCATCCCAAGAGTTTGAGGTTGCTGTGAGCTATGATTATTAAAACAGGAAGTAGAGTAGTGGTTTCTGAGAGGAACTAAGGGGAGGAAAGAAAAGGGAAATATTGTTCAGTGGGAATAGAGTTTTCAGTTTTGCAAGATGAAACATTTCTAGACACCTGCTGTACAACATTGTACATGTTAGCTCTAATACACTGTACAGTTAAAATGATTAAGATGGTAAATTTTGTGTTATGAGTTTTTTATCATAAAGAAAGTTCACAGCAACATGTTTAAATCTAGTTCTCTAAAATTATGTCACCTAGGGTGCAGATTTCTTACCTACAAAATGAAAATGATACCTACTTACAGGGTTTTGTGAGGTCTAAATGAAATTAAAGCTGTGGTTTTCTGCCAGCACAAAGCAGATGGACTGACTGCTGCCCTTGTCTCCAGCGTAGAGAAAATAGAAAGAGAGCAGAAGGGACGGTGGATTTGAGTAGGTACGGAGGAACAGGTATGGTTAGTGATTGCTTGATCACCTGGAGTTACTATCTCTCCTGCTCTGCTGTGCAGAGATGCTGGTGATGAAAGGACAGGAGGGGGGTTCAAGACAATTGCAGGAAGTAGAAGAGAGAACTATCAAAAAAATACTAAATCAGCAAATATTTATGGAACCCTTGTTGAAGCACCTTCATGATTATTGTGTTTTTGGCTGACATCTCTTACCTGAATCTGCAAGACAACCCCATGAGTTCAGAGCTTTTATTTTTTTCCCAAATGATCTTGTGAGCAAGTGGCAGAAATAGGATTAGAACTCAGGTTTATGTGACTCTTGAATGACAATAGATGAGAATAGCCATGGGAATAAATAGAGGAATAAATCACATAGAAATTAAAGCTGCTTAAAGATATTGCTGATGAATGTGGTGGACCACTGTTTGCTGTCTAGAAGAGCAGCCTGATTTCAGTAAAGCCCTTTTGAAGAACTAATTAATGCCTTAGGCGATACATGGGAGCTACAATTTTATACTTCTGATGTCTAAAGGGTGCTGCATCTTACACATCCATTACCTAAGTAAGCACAGCAGAGTTCTTCTTTAAAACGTAAAAAAATTGTCTCTGCATTTGAAAGGAGCAGGTGCCAACTTTCACGAATGTGGGACTCAATTTTAGCATGCTGGAGTCATGGAATACTAAACTCCTCACTTACAGTTGTGGAAACTGGGTTACATGTGTGTGATCCCGAGCACACACATGAGTGGCAGTGACGAGAGCCGAGCTTCCTAACTCCTGGCTCAGCGTCCCTTGCAGTGCATTGCATCACCTCCTTTGTTTTAGTTCCTCGTTGCACGCTAGATGCTGTTTTTATCATTCTGTGTAGAAAACCAATTGAGATGAGCTTATTACATGTTTTATGATAGATGAAATCCCTATGTTTGTAGTATTGTTATGTGACAGATGGTTCCTGGATCTTAGCATTTGGTGCTGCCTCACGCAGGCAGGCAGGCTTTTTTTGTTGTTGATGTGGCCAGTTATTGGCCTGCCACACTTGATTAGACTTCATAACAGTCTCCACAAATAGACGCAGAAAAGGAAGAAGAAATAAACCATTTTCTATTCTCTAAAATGATAGGATTATACTAGATTATTTGAAAAAGCCTTTTTGCCTATAAAGATTAGGAACCAATTACCTTAAGAGTCATTAGATTCAAGGAATCATTAAATCCAGTTTATTTCTGAGAACAGGGATTTGAGTTGGAAAAAAAGGAATTTATTATCCTTGAATTTATTTTTAATGTTAGAAATTAGGGAAACGGCATCTGTCCTTCTAATCATGTAAGGCAAAGTCAGAACTAGCAGGAGGTATAATCAATACGCCCCTCCAAGCATATACCGTTTGGTTGAACTTGACTGTATTTGCATGGGGAGGGGGGGGTGCCATATTTACTAATGTAACAATTGTATTGTTTTTCTGAATTATTAATACTTTTTTTTCTGCCTGATATTTGGTAGCCATGAATTAGAAACCTTGTGTATTCAAGCAGGTTTTTACTTTACATTGAATGACATAGGAAAAGGAATACTTAACTTCCTCAGACCAAACATAAACATATTTCAGGGCGGTGCCTGTGGCTCAGTGAGTAGGGTGCCAGCCCCATATACCGTGGGTGGTAGGTTCAAACCCAGCCCTGGCCAAACTGCAGCAAAAAAATAGCTGGGCATTGTGGCAGGCACCTGTAGTCCCAGCTACTCAGGAAGCTGAGGCAGGAGAATCGCCTAAGCCCAAGAGTTGGAGGTTGCTGTGAGCTGTGACACTACGCACTCTACTGAGGGCAATAAAGTAAGACTCTGTCTCTTAAAAAAAAAAAAAAAAAAACCCCTTTCCCCCATTAAAAAAAAAGACATATTTCAAATACCTCTATTTAGCAATTTGCCTACTAATGTTGAAGTACTCAAATTTCATGAAGGATTTTTCTTTTAGAAAAAAAGTAATGTTGTAAATTACAGTTATTTTATTCACATTATACATATTTTAAAATATTTAGATGAGAAAAAGTTAGCAAAGAGAAAAAAAGTTTCCTGACAGTGAATTGGGGATTAGAAAGAAGAGTCTACTGAGGGCTGAAACCACAGCTGGATTTCCCAGGCAGAAGGCTGTTACTAACGTGAGCTCTTGTGTAGTGAGTATTTTACAAATTATAGTTAAGGAATAAGTTCTGATTCCAGAATTTTAAAAGTCCCGAGTCTTCTTTGAAAGCCAAACTACAGAAGGTTTAGCAGCTAGATATAATTTTAAAGAATACTTTCAAATGAAGATGATTTTTATTATTTCCTATATTCCTATATCTTATGTAAGAAATTGAAACAATTTGACAGTATCTTTATTTTAAAGATCCATTTTTACTTTCTCATCTCCCTAAAACTGTCCTTTATAGAGAAGAAAATTGTACTTCACCTGTAGCAAACTAAGAATTCAAGAACTAAATTAAAAAGTAAAATGTCAACCTTGAGAAGTAATATTGTTTTAATCTGTTTCAAGCCAAAATATGCAAAAATAGGGTGAAGAAAGGACAGTAAAGGTTTTTTAAAATGTAAGTTGATAAAACTAGAGTTGGTTTATTATTGTAAGATAAAACACATCTAAATTTTAGATGTCTTTTTAAATGGTGCCTAAGAACAGTAATCATTGTGGTCTTAATGACATTACTCAATATTCCCTCTGAACTTTCAAATAATATTCAGATCTAGATCTTTTCTAGCTTTTCCCTTTCCTCAGCCACTAGTTTATTTACACGTACTTATGTGGGATGGGGTTGCACTTCTTTATTTATTTGTTTTCTAAATATTAAGAGGCTACAAATGTTTAGCTACATGGCCTGATTTGATCTGTAAGTGTGCCCATCACCTGAGTAATGTCCGTGGTACCTGCGGGGTGGGTTTTGCCCCTCTTCTGCTCTCCCCACTCCCTGCTTGATTTCCAGAGACATATGTTTTTACTTTCTTGAGATACTTCACTTAGGGTAATGCTCTCCATTTTCTTCCATATTGCTGCAAAAGCCATTAATTCATATTTTTTAATGGCAGGATAGTACTCCGTGGTAAAATACATCACATTTGTTACTCTACTCATGAATTGATGGGCAGTTGGGTTGATTGCACATCTGTGCAGTTGTGAATCGTGCTACAATAAACATTTGAGTGCAAGTGTCCTTTTGATAAAATGACTCCCTTTGGGTAGGTAGCCAATAGTGGGATTGCTGGATCAAATGTAAGGTCTGCTTTTAGTTCTTTGAGAAATCTCCATACTGTTGTCCGTAGGAGTTGTACTATTTTGTAGTCCCATCAGTGGTGTATAAGGATTCCTTTCTCTCTGCATCCATGCAATCATCTGTTGTTTTTGGACTTTTTAATAAAAGCCATTCTAACAGGTGTAAGATGACAACTCATTGTGCTTTTAATTTGCCTTTCCCTGATGATTAGTGATGTTGAACATTTTTTTTATATGTTGGCCATTTGTCTATCTTCATTTGAACAACTTCTGTTCATGTCTTTTGCCTACTTTTTAATAGCTCATTAGTTTTCACTTACTGATTTGAGTTCTTCATAAGTTCTGGATTTAGCCCTTTATCTAATGTATAGATTGCAGATATTTTCTCCTTGCTTTTATTATTTTTAATTGACACATAAGAATTGTACCTATTTATGGGATAGTGTAATGTTTTGATACATGAAAATGATAATGATCAAATCAGGATAATTAGCATGTCTGTTACCACAAACATTTATCATTTCTTTGAGTTCAGAACCTTCAAAGTCTTTTCTTTTAGCTATTTACAAACATACAATTAATTGTTAATAATAGTCACCCTGTAGGTGCCATAGAACACTAGAACTTATTCCTTGTCTGGATGTACTGTTGTATCTGGTCACCAACCTTTGGCTGTCTCCTCTCATACCTCTCTGTTAATCACTATTCCACCCTCTGCTTTTATGAGATCAACTTTTTTAACTTCCACATATGAGTGAGAACATTTGGTATTTATATTTCTGTGCCAGAATTATTTCACTTAACATAATGTTTTCTAAGCTCATCCATGTTGCCTCAAGTAACAGAATTTCATTCTTTTATATGGCTAAATAGTATTAGATTGTACATATACCACATTTGCTTTACCCATTCATCTGTCGATGAACACTTAGATTGATTCCAAATTTTGACTGTTGTGAATAGCACAGCAATAAACATGGGAATGCAGCTATCTCTTCGACATACTCATTTCTTTTCTTTTGGTCTATACCCAGCATTGGGATCACTGGATCATATCATAGTTTATTTTTAGTCTTCTGAGTAACCTCCCTACTGTTTTTCTGTTTCCACAAACAACATATAAGAATTCCCTTCTCTCCATATATTCACCAGCATTTGTTATTTTTTATCTTTTTGTTAATAGTCATTCTAACTGAGTCAAATGATATCTTATTGTGGTTTTGATTTACATTTCTCTATTAATCAGTGATGTTGAGCACTTCATATACCTATTGGCTATTTGTAAGCCTTCTTTTGAGACATGTCTGTTCAGCTTATTTGCCCATTTCTAAATTGGATTATTTGACTTTTGCTTATATACTCTTGTTTTTTAGATCTTAGTGAAACTGTGCAGTTTTGTTTCTCCGGCAGAGGAACTGGCTCAAAAAGATGATCTCCAGCTTCTATTCAGTGCAATAACTTCTTGGTGCCCTCCCTATAACCTGCCTTGGAGAAAGAGTGCTGGAGAAGTCCTTATGACCATCTCCCGTCATGGTCTTAGTGTCAATGTAGTGAAGTATATTCATGGTGAATATCTCTTTATATAATCATTTTAAGTATTCTCAATTTCTTCAACTTTTCTTATTTTGATGACAGATTTGTTTTTTAATGTGTTTTTATCTATTGAATTTGCAAGAATTGTTCTTAAAATTAAAAAACACATTTTCCAGGAAAAAAAAATTATTTTGTTACTTATGTGGTATTTTAAATTTAAGAAATTCTCAAATTTCAAACAACATGTTTACATGTTGTATTACAGGTAATACAATTTCATTGTTATGTAAATATTCAGTCATAATGTAATGTAAGTTCTTTTCCATAGTCTATTTTTTTCTTTTACTGAAGAAAAGAGTTTTCTTGGAATGTTACACACATGGTTATCAGACTTTCTGAAGTAATGTATAAGTATCCAATTAATAATGTGTTTGATGAAGCATAGGTAGAATTAGGTAGATCTTTATCAGCACTGAGGAGAAATTATGTCTGTCTGATTTATACATAATACTGGACTATCTACATGGTGTAGTTTTTAAATACACAAATGCTCCACAACTCACAATGGAGTTGTGATATTGGGATATTATATCCCAATAATCCCATCTTTAAGTTGAAAGTATTAGTTAAGCCAAAAATGCATTTAAACACCTAGCCTACTGAACATCATACCTCAGCCTAGCCTACCTTGAGTGTGCTCAGAACACTTAAGTCCGCCTACAGTGGGAAAATCATCTAGTACACAGCCTATTTTATAATAAAGTGTTATTTCATGTAAATTATTGAATACTGTTCTGAAAGTGAAAAGAATTACTGTATGGATACTTGAAATTCAGTTCCTACTAAATACTTACTGATACTGCTTTTGCACCATTGTTAAGTTGAAAAATCTGGCTCGGCGCCTGTGGCTCAAGTGGCTACGGCACCAGCCACATACATCTAACGTGGCGGGTTCAAATCCAGCCCAGGCCCGCCAAAACAACAATGACCAGTGACCACTGCAACCAAAAAATAGCCGGGCGTTGTGGCAGGTGCCTTTGGTCCCAGCTACTTGGGAGGCTGAGGCAGGAGACTCGCTTGAGCCCAGGAGTTGGAGGTTGCTGTGAGCTGTAATGCCATGGCACTCTACCCAGGGGGACAGCTTGAGGCTCTGTCTCAAAAAAAAAAAAAAAAAAAACTTATGTAGAACCAACCTTAAAGTCAAGACAAGACCACATGTATATTACTCTCCTGAAACTCATGTAAAATAACTAATACAACTGCTGGTTTACTTAGTAAACTCATTAAATGACATATGTGAAACCTAGTAGCTGAGTTAGTCATTAAATATTTTCTTCCTTCAATTCCTGTGTTAAATCCTAACTTTTATTGCCATTGAGTTTCTTCATACAAATAAATTTCACTAAATTTAAAGTATTTTTTAAAATGCCATAAATATGCAAAGTGAGTGATAGGATATAGCTGTGTTTAAATTTGTTATAAAATAATTACATGTGCATATAATATCACCTATTTTCAACACTTTTCTACATTATTCTTTTTTTTTAACTCCTTATAGGTAGGTAGTATAGTACTTTTGCGTGAATTTGTATAATATACTTTCACATGTGTAGCATTTATTTCATAATATTTTGTAGATAGATTGAAATTTAAGGTTTTATTAAACATCAGTTAAGAATGAAGAAAATTTGCTTAAGCAACTGATGTAAATAATACCTGTTTATTTAATTCCTTACTCTTGCAGAGAAAGAATGTTTATCTACGTGTGTTCAGAATATGCAGCAATCAGATGACCTGTCTCCCCTAGAAATTGTTGAAATGTTTGCTGGGCTGTCTTGTTTCCTCAAAGATTCCAGTGATGTTTCGCAAACACTTCTGGATGATTTTCGGATATGGCAAGGATATAATTTTCTTTGTGATCTCTTGCTTAGGTAAAACCCTATGATTTAAGAATAAATTTTAAATGTCTACTCAGACTTTCCTATTGAAGAAAATAATGTAATTTGGGATTTCAGGGAACTGGAATCAATGAAAACTTATTTCATGTATACCAGGGTTACTACTTCGCTTTGCTCCCTTCTTTTTATTCCTTTTTTGCCAAGAAAATAGAAAAAGTTTATTTAGGTCAGGTGCGGTGGCTCACGCCTGTAATCCGAGCACTCTGGGAGGCTCAGGCAGGTGGATTGCTTGAGCTCACGGATTTGAGACCTGAGCAAAAAGTGAGACCCTGCCTGTACTAAAAATAGAAAAACTGAGGCAAGAGGATCACTTGAACCCAACAGTTGGAGGTTGCTGTGCGCTATGATGTCACGGCACTCAGGGTGACAGCTTGAGACTGTCTCAAAAAAAAAAAAAAGAAAAGAAAAGAAAGTAAGAAAAGGTTTACTTGGAAATAAATTAGTAAATGCAGGCCCAAAGCAGGGTGGATCAGAGGTTAGATAACTCTGAAGAATAAATCTGCTCTTTTTTAAGAACTGAGAGCAAAGAGTTTAAATCTGATAACTTCTTTAACTATTTAACATCTATGTAAAGTATTAACTCTTCTTGCTGAATTATAATATTGACCATTCTTTATAGTACTTATAGTGTTTGTATTAATGTAGTTAATAAGAAGAGTAATTATGCAGATTGACTGAAATCTTACAAATGTATGTATAAAACACATTAGTCCAAAATGTTTCACTTGCCTCCTTTTCTGTTCCAAGTGGTACATGCATATATTAAATATTTATAAAAGTAGCCCATTACAAATACTATTTGGAAATACTATTTCCCTTTTAGCTATTCTTGGGTTATTACTTATTTTTTTAATCATTTTATCTGTCATAAGCCAAGATATTGTGAACTTCTGTTTTTCGTCTTCCTCTTTTTTTTTTTTAAGAGACAGGTCTTGCTATGTTGCCCAGGCTGGCCTCGAACTCCTGGGCTAAAGCATTTCTCCTACCTTAGCCTCTCAAGTAGCTGAGACGATAGGCACATACTACTGCACCTGGCTTTAATCTTCCTATTACCAATTCAATCTGGTAGCTGTTAGTTAATTTTAGGCAACCCCAAAGAACACAGTTTGGCATTTATATTCTCATTTGTAAAAGAAGACATATGAGAGTGGATGACGGAACAACTTCACATTAACAGTGTGGTGATAATTGCTGCAATCCTTTGTGAATGTAGATTGGCCCAGATATTAAGATTCTTAAAAATGTTGATAACTCTGACACAATAATTTCATTTTAGTTTTTGATCCTTAAGGTGTAACTGGAAGTGTAGACACAATTTTATGTATTTTAGTGCTACTATAATCAGCTGGCTTTCCCACATTCCCTCCCCAAATCTGTGTTTGGCTCTGCATGACCATGGCAAACATATTTATGGATGGCTTATACTAATGTGCCAAGGCACACGTATTGTACTAGTGAATAAAAAAAAAAAAGAGATTACATGATAAAAGAATAAATATTGTAAAAAGTGCACATTTCACATTAAAAAAGACATGTTTCAGAAATATATCAAAATGTTAAAAGTGGTGGTGAGGCTCACCATACTTTTCCTCCTGGCCTACTTTTGTACCTTCTCCAAGTTTATTTTAATAAGAATAATTGCTTCTTTGAAAGAGAAAAACCCAATAAATTTTATTCTTTAAGAAAGATATTTGGGTTCTCTGTAAAGCCATGGTCAAAGGATAATTCCCTGATGACCCCTGTGTTCTTTCAAAATGTCTCAAAGTACCTTATACATTTATTTACTCTACATAAAATTGAAAAGTACTTCTTGTATTAAATTTGAGAATACAACACAAGAGAAAAATTATTACCTAAATCGTACTTTTTCTAGGTTGGAACAAGCAAAAGAGGCTGAATCGAAAGATGCCTTGAAAGATCTGGTTAATCTGATAACTTCTCTAACAACATATGGTGTCAATGAACTAAAGCCAGCCGGGATTACCACAGGGGCACCCTTTCTATTGCCTGGATTCGCGGTACCTCAACCTGCAGGCAAAGGCGAGTCTTTCTCCCCCTTATTCTGTGTTACTCAAAGCAATAAAAAATAAATGTGTCTTACTTTCGTTGCTCTTTATGTTACTTGTGTGAAAATACCATATTGTTTTTCATTAAAGTTTGTGCTTTTTATGGTTTAACTATATAAGAATTTCTTGAGTTATAATCTTTAGCAGATTAAATACTTGAAAATATTATAAAAATATAAAAACAATGAGATTTTTATTATAGTATTTCTTAACATTCAAACAATTTAGTAATCCAAACACTTCTTTTGAAGAATGATATTCCAGGCATTTCTACTTTATATAGATCAAGTATAATTCACACTCTGATCTCTGTATCGTCCTCCCTCAGTATCCATGGGGGATTGGTCCTACACATGCTGAACTCCATGGATATTCAATTCTCTTGAGTATATAAAATGGTGCCTTATTTGACGATAACCTACGTACATCTTCCCGTATACTTTAAGTTACCTCTAGAATGCTGATAATTTCTAATACAATGTAAATGCTATGTAAATAGTGATTATATTGTTTAAGACCTGAGGACAAGAAGAGAAGTCTCTAATTGTTCAGTACAAGCACAAGCATCTCTCTTTGTTTTTTTTCCCTTCAGTATTTTTTTCTTCATCTGGTTGAATCCAGAGTTAACATTTAATGACATAATCATGCAACCTAGTTTTATTGTCCATTTAATTTTTTAAGCTGCACAATAACTATTTCAAAATAATCTGAGTGTGGAGTTCTTCAGTAGTTTCTTTCACATGATTGTCACTTACTGGGTATTTAATAGAGTTACGATATTTTCATATAAAATTTAACTAGCAAATAAAATGCAAACATGGTTATTTAAATTTCACAGTACACATCTATGCATTTTATGACATAGAAACCATAGAAACTTCTAAATCAGTGAGAATAGATGGCTCCAGCAAGCTCTGTGTGATGTGCTATCCCCTCAGTGTGTAGGTCGTATGGGACCTTTTAAATGAGTCTCTGCAGTAAGTGTGGAGAAATCCACGTGTGTTTCCATGAGCACGTCAAGGTTTCATTTTATTTAACATTAAGGAAAGAGATAGAAGTCTCTCAGAAAACTTAGAGTAATTAATAGACCCCAGCTTGAATATTCCCATTAACTCCTTATGAGTTAATGGAAAATAGTTCACCAGTGTCCATCCTGTTTCATACTTTATTGTTGTTTTATTTGATTAATCAGTCTCACCTTGATATTGGCATAATTTTATAATAGAATTAACATAGCAAAATTAATCTTCTACATGAGTTGCCTGTTTTTTCCTCATCTGTAACAGGCACTTAGATAACCTGGCACCTCCCAGAGTTATGGTGAGAGTCAAGTGACATAATTTCTATGAAAGCAAATTTACTAGAAAGGATGTTGCCCTAAGAAGAATTCGTGTAGTCATGAGTGATATAACTTTTATAAACATCAATTTCTTATTCAGAAAAATTGGCTTAATGTTCTATAAAATGAATAGGTCAAACTTTGTTTTTTGTGTTGCCTGTATAACTCAAAATTATCTATTTTTTCCAAGGCCTACTTTGAAGGGTTATTGCAGAAATCAGATGAGGTAGCTATATTCCATATAAATGGAGTATGGAATATGTCATCTTTTATTTATGTTAGCAGTATTGAGGCATAATTTGTGTACATTAAAATCTGTCCACTTAAATATTGAATTTGATGAGTTTTGACAAATGTACATGGTTGTTTAATCACTGCCATAGTTATGACATGGAATATTCCCATCCTTCTGAGAAGTTTCCTCATTCCTTTTGAGGTTAGTCCTCCCCACTCCCACACTAACCCAGCAACCACTTATCTGCTTTGGTTTTGTCCTTCCTAGAAGTTCATAAACTATAATCTATAATATATATATATTTTGGAGCATTTTCCGTAGATTGCAGTAGTCCCCCCTTTAACTGTGGAGGATATGTTTTAGGACTCCTAGTGGAAGCCTGAAATTGCAGATAGAATTAAGCCCTATATATACTTCTATGTTTTTCACCTATGCCCTACATACCTATGATAAAGTTGAATTATAAATTAGGCATAATAAGAGATTAACAGCAATAGACCAGTCACGTTGGCTCACCCCTGTGTTCTCAGCACTTTGGGAGGCTGACACAAAGGATAGCTTGAGGCCAGAAGACCAGCCTGGGCAGCATAGCAAGGTCCCACCTCAACAGAAAATGAAAAAATTAGCTGGACATACCCCTTCAGTCTCAACTACTTAGGAGGCTGAGGTGTGAGGATCACTGGAGCCTAAGAGTTCAAGGATACAGGGAGCTATGATCATGCTATTGTACTCCAGCTTGAGTGACAGGAGGGATAACCTATATCAAAAAAAGAATAACAATAATAACTATTTATAAAATACAACAGTTATAACAACATACTGTAGTAAAAGTTAGGTGAATGTGCACTCTCTGTCTCTCATAACATTTCCTATTTTGTTAATATGTAGTATTTTTGGACTATGGGTAACTGAAGCTGCAGAAGGTGAAACCATGGTGAAGGGGGAATATTGTTTTGAAATTTATCCATGTTTTTTAATATATCGGAACTTCGATCCTTTTGAATGCTGATTAGTATTTCATGGTTTGGATATTCCACAATTTATGTGTCCATTCACCAGTTAATGGATATTTATTTGACTACAGTAAGTGAAGCTGTGATGCTCATCTAAGACAGGTCTCTGTGTGGACATGTGTTTTTATTTCTTTTAGCTAAATATCAGGCAATGGAATTGCTAGCTTATATGATTACAGTGTCTTAAGTTCTTGGGAAGCTACCAGACTCTTTCTGAAGTGGCTGTCTCATTTTACCTTCACGTCAGCAACGTGTGAAAGCCCTCGTCACTTCATGTCCTAGTAACAGTTGGTATTGTTGGTCTTTTTAAAATTTTAGACATTCTATTATTTTTTACTTTTGTTTTTTAAAAAAGACTAATGAAGGTTAGCATTTTTCATGTTTAGTTGCCAGCAGTATCTCTACATTGGTTCGTATCTCTGTGCCCATGGTTAGTAGGGTTGCTTGTTTTATTGCGGATATAAGGGTTCTTTAATAATCTGGCTAAGTCCTTTATTAGTCCTTCATCGTTTATATGTTTTAGATTCTCCTACTCTTAACTTGCCTTTATTTTTCTTACCAGTGTCTTTTGAAGGATGAAAGCTTTTTATTTTGATAAAGTCTAATTTTTTATTTTTAAAATATTTTTTGATGATTTTTTTCCCCTACTAAGGATATCTTTATTTAATCCAAATTCACTGGTCTTTTCCAGTGTTTTCTTCTTCTAATATTTTCTTTCTTCAATTTTTTTTATTATTAAATGGTAGCTATACACATTAATGCAAACATGGGGTACAGTGTAGTGTTTTCATATACAATTTGAAATATTTTCATCACTTTCTTCAATATTTTATATTTTAACTCTTATACTAAGGTCTATGATATATTTTAAGTTAATTGTTACACGGGGTAGAAAGTGTGTATTTATTTTTTTCCACATTTATATCTGAATGTGCCAGGATAAGACCATGGATGATCATGTATCCAGGACTCTTCCTGAATTTTCTTTAATTAATCTATGTGTCTGTCCTTAAGCCAATACCACACAGTCTTGATTATTGTAGCTTTATCTTTTTAAAATAAAGACCAATTTTGTTCTTCCCTTCTAAAATCATTTTTGCTATTCTGAGTCCTTTGAACTTAGGTAAGAGTTCAATAATCATGTCAGTTATTAAAAAAGAAGCCGACTGAGAGGTTCTTCTTTTGAGGACATCTCCACTTTTTATTATCTCTAGGTAACCAATAACCAGCTTATCCAGATGGATAAGACCCTGGAAATAAAGATAATTTTTTGGTATTTGCCCCACTTGGAATAAAAACCTGATAATTTAAATTATATATAAGCTAAAGATTTTTTAAAATCTTTGTATTTTTAGAAATGCTGTAGCCAGGATTTCTGAAGAATCTTTTTAACCTTTTTATGTTTTTTTGTAGTTCTATGTTTATCTTTTTCTAAATTCCAGCTTATTCTGTAAAGCTTTGTATTAATTTTTTTGTCACTCTTCCAAATACCAAAAACTCCTAATAATTGTTAACTGGGGTCAGTCTCTAGAGACAAACTACTTGTTTTCATGTACCTCTAATACAGCTTTCTATGTTAACTTTTTGTAGTTGTTCTCACTAATTTGTTTCACCTGAACCATGAATATGGATTTTTTTTTCCAAGTGAACCGGTTGGAAAACAAAAAATTAAAAAAAAAAACAAGAACCAACCAAAAAAATGCCTTAAAAAAAAATTAAAAAAATAAAATAAAATTTTAAGTTGAAAAAAATCCAAAGTAAAAATTAAAAAAAAATAGAAGTGGGGAAATAAAATAAAAAAATGGAAATGAAGGGAATTTTTCCCCCCCAAACCCCCGCCTCAATCCTGCCGGTGGCAAGCCCAATAACTGGTTAACCAAAAAAATCGTTTTAACTTGAGAAATAACAATTCTTATAGTCAAAGTCAATCTTACAGATAATAAAATGTGACACCACCACACATTTTCAAACTCTGGACCAGTATAATTTGCATATGTTCCTAACAGTCTAATTTTTCAACATATACTATTCTTGAATTGCAGTATTCACAATGATGAATTAACAGTTTAATCTGTTATTTTTAATTAAATAATATAAGCATGATGAAGAAAACTAAGAACTTTTGTGAAAAAAAGGGTGTTTTCTCAGCAAATAGTTGATAAGTGTTACAATTCATGATGTTTTTAAACAAACTAATTTGCCATGATTAAAATATCACATAGCTCCTACTTTTGTGTTCTGTTTTCTATTTTAGGTCACAGTGTGAGAAACATCCAGGCCTTTGCAGTTCTTCAGAATGCATTTTTAAAAGCAAAAACCAGCTTCCTTGCCCAAATCATCCTCGATGCCATTACAAATATTTATATGGCTGACAATGCCAATTATTTCATACTAGAGTCACAGCACACACTGTCACAGTTTGCAGAGAAGATTTCTAAACTCCCAGAAGTACAAAACAAATACTTCGAGATGTTGGAGTTTGTGGTTTTTAGCTTAAATTATATCCCCTGTAAAGAACTTATTAGTGTTAGTATCCTCCTGAAGTCTAGCTCTTCTTACTACTGTAGCATTATTGCCATGAAAACACTTCTTAAGTTTACAAGACATGACTGCATATTTAAAGATGTGTTCAGGGAGGTGGGACTTCTGGAGGTCATGGTCAACCTTTTACATAAATATGCTGCCCTCTTGAAGGATCCCACTCAGGCACTCAATGAACAAGGTAAAGCGTTTTCCGTACTTTTATTTTTATTTGACAAAGGGGTCCGGGGAGGATGTTTGTGGTTTTGCCTTTCATTTGTTATGGATTTGAATGACTTCCTAAAGTGTATTATTATGACACGCTAGAGAACATCCAAAGTTGACTTTTATATTCAGCCTCTGTTAGGGAATCGTGAAAGGAGAGCCTAGAATTCTGTCACTGTAGTGGAAGAGAGTTTAAGGGAAGGTGAAAACTGAAGAGGAACACGTGTGACTCACATGACTAGTGTTGGTGACTTTCTGCTTCCCAGAGGGAATTGTAAAAATCTTTGAACACAATTGGATTATTATTCAATTAATTAATTATTAGTAGTACATATAATTAATTGTGTAGTTACCTCAAAATATTTTTAGTAATCAGACAGCACAAGTAAATAAGTATTTAACAATGTTATATACATACAGGTGTTATCATTATATATCCATCTGATAAATCCAATAAAAGTACGGTAGTATCTGGCAATTAGTAGGTAAAATGTGAATTAATGTAAGTTGAATAAGTAGCATTATCCATAAACTTTTTTTCCTTTCTGATGATTTAAATAAAAGTATCACTTTCCTCTTTACCTCCTTATTAGGAAACCCCCTATGAGAAGGAGCTGTGTGTGTATATATATATATATATATTATATATCTCCAACTTTTGCCTTTTTGTTTTTGGGGTTTTTTGGGGATTTGGCCAGGGCTGGGTTTGAACCCACCACCTCCAGCATATGAGGCCACCATCCTACTCCTTTGAGCCACAGGCACCGCCTTGCCTTTTTGTTTTTTATACTTGTTAGGTAACTGTTTCTAGCTATACCGAAATAAAATCTGTTAAGATTGATTTTGAGCCTACTGTTGCCAAATGTTAGACACATGTATTATGTTTAAAGAAATTGTTAAAACTGAATCAAGAAAAAGTAATCGTATCGTATCGTTTAATTTGGATCTTTGAACCTTTTTCAAAGGGGACTCACGAAATAATAGTTCAATGGAAGACCAAAAACATCTGGCTTTGTTGGTTATGGAGACCTTGACAGTGCTTCTTCAAGGATCAAACACAAATGCAGGTAACTAAAAAAGCCACATGCACAATTTTGGTGCGCAAGATTCCCTGGTTACATCTTCTCTGGCGATTCTCACTTCTGAAGTCCTCCTATCACATCAGAGTAAGCACTGAATCTGTTCAATCTATGATGGCACATTCATGTCCCTAAGAATAGAATTCTTTTGACCATAAGAAAAAGGAACTAGTTTCATGTTTTTCCCCAGACTAGAGTGGGAAGGGAGAGGGGACAGGAGGTGGCACTTAGATGATGATGCTATGGACCCAGTGCCTAAGAGGGCCATGGCCCAATACCAGTCTACAGCTGAGGGACCACAGGGCTGGGGACCACAGACCCAGAGGTTGCAGAGGGAGGATTGGACAATTCTACTTGATATGTCTCCCAAAGTGCCAAATGTTTTCCCACAGTTCTTTTCCTGTAGTCTTTCTTTTCCTTGTTAAGAAAGATGTTACTAGCTGTGTGATCTCAGGCACTTAAAAAAGTGCTCTGCTTGTAGTAAGTGTTTAAAAAACACTTTACCATTATGATTATTTAATTGGCCCTCACTGGCAACCAGGACATATCTAATCACAGTTTTTGTGTAATCAAAGGATGTCACAAATCTCATGGGCTGAATCTTAAGCATGTGACTTAGACTCACCATAAGGTTATATAATTCTTACAAACTTAGTAAATAGGAAGCCACTAAATAGAACTGTGGCTGCTGCAGCAAAATGTACTGTGAGTTATTCACTCAACAAACTAATTGACGCACACGAGTCAGAAGAAATGTAAGAGTTATAAAGGATCAAACACGCACAGTCAGAGGAAGACTTTTTGATATAAACTATAGTAAAGTTGTATATACAAGGTGTTCTAAAATCAAAAAGAGTCGAAAAATTAGTTAAAGGAAATGTTAGTGATTTAAGTCACCTTGTCCTTTTTTTTTTATACTCAAGGATGATTATTGGTTTGAGAACAGTGTCATCACTCGGAAACTGGGCCTCGTGGTTGTGTGTCCTGTTGCCTTGCCTGGTAGCTGTGCGACTTGGGCCCCGCTACTCACCTTCTGTATGGGAGGGGTTGAGTGTTAAACCAATCTTTGTGAAGGCTTTGGAGGAGTGCTGTGACTGAGGCTTCCTGTTACAGAATTTGTCTCTGTTTTTGTGCACTACCTGTGTGCCTAAAAATTTTAGTTCCTTGTAATTTTTCCTATGGTAAAATATTCCATTCCTTTCTTGTGACTATTTTGAAAGCCTCATTCATCTTAAATCTCATTTATTTGGAGTATTGTTTGTCTGAAAGCCTTTTATGCAAGTTGATTTCAGCTTCAGGTCTCTTAGTATCTCCCTATGTAATTTTTGAAGATTGTAGATTTGAAGAATTTAGACGTGGTGCACATATCAAGGTGTTAATCATGACTAACGAAATCTAGGGAAAATGGGCAAATGAATTTGCTGGCATCCACAGTGCAATTTTATATTGTAAGATAGTGAAATAGGTGTAGGTTTTATGTATGTTCCTTTGGTTAAGCATACCTACAAAAAGAATTGATTTTCAATTCATCTGACTTGTCTCAGAACATTTTAAGTTAGCCCACGTGGTGCTTTTTCTCTGTCCTTTAAGGAATTTTTCGCGAATTTGGAGGTGCAAGATGTGTACATAATATAGTAAAGTACCCTCAGTGCCGGCAGCACGCCCTGATGACGATCCAGCAGTTGGTGCTCTCTCCGAATGGGGACGATGACATGGGCACTCTCCTGGGGCTAATGCACTCAGCCCCACCAACAGAATTGCAGCTGAAGACTGACATTTTAAGGGTAAGTTTGATAAGTGTGTTTCTACTCTTTTATTATAAAAACTTCAGACTCTTTATTTCTTTTTTTTTTTTTTTTTGCAGTTTTTGGCCAGGGCTGGGTTTGAACTCACCACCTCCGGCCTATGGGGTTGGCGCCCTACTCCTTTGAGCCATGGGCACCACCCCCTTCAGACTCTTTTTAAATGATTTATTTTGGAACTAGAGATAGGGAAATTTCAAAAACCCAAATTTCTAAATAATCCTTACAACTTTACTGATGAAATTTGGAAAAATCCCAGTCATTTGTGTCTTTCAGTATATATTAACTTATTACTGATAAAACTTGACAATAACTATCTTGGCTTACAGGAATTATTCTTTAAATTAAATAGTATATTCATGAAGTGTAGCACCTTAAGAAACACTTAATATATATATTATGTTGTGTGCAGCATTATACACACCTCTGTATATGTGTGTATATGATGGGTATTCTAGCAGATACCAAACAATATACTAGAAGTTTTACATACACTTTTATATCACTTATTCCTTCCCAATCTTCTGAGTAGCACCTTGTTTGGCAAATGAGAAAACTTAAATTTAGAGAGATCATATAGCTTGGATATGTTTATGGTACTAACTGTAAAGCAGTAGCCCTGACTCCTACATCTCAGTACCATGCTCTTTCCACAGCACCATTGTGCTTTACAAACATTTACACACACACACATTCTCCCACCTTACTGTGATCACTGATACTTCTATCTAAGAATCTTTTAGAATCAAACTATAATTACATGTTTCACTTTTAATTTATTTACAAGTGAATTTAGAAATGCATGTAAGGGGTGATAAGTAAGGATATTAAATAGGCTGGGTGTGATGGCTCAGCCAGTAATCCTAGCACTCTGAGGGGCCAAGGTGGGTAAATTGCTTGAGCTCATGAGTTCAAGATCAACCTGAGCAAAAGCAAAACCCTGTCTCTACTAAAAATAGAAAAACTGAGGCAAGAGGATCGCTTGAGCCTGAGTTGGAGGTTGCTGTGAGCTATGAGGCCATGGCACTCTACCCAGGGTGACAGCTTGAGACTCTGTCTCAAAAAAAAAAAAAAATTAAATAATACAGAAAACAATTTCGCCTTTAAAAAGAAGTAAATAAGTAAATTCAAGCGAACAAATAAAGGAGAGAGGAGGAAAAGCTCTTATTTACTGCTGAAAGTCAAATAAAGAAAATTACTATTTTGAACTCTCACAACGATAATTGATTCAGATAAAAGTCATCACTGGCTGCTTACGATAGTCAGTGAATGTTTGAGGAATGACAGGACTTTTAATAGTTTTAAATTATGTCCTTAAAAGATACTTTTTAATTAAGTGGTGAAATACTAGTTTTACAGTCGACTCTACTTGACCAAACAATCAAAGTTAACTTTGCCGGTGATGGGGCAAATGAAGAGCCTGTGCCTCCTGATGAGACATGCAGCCAGGAATTCAGCTGAGAGTGATCATTAGAAAATGTCAGGTGCAGCCAAATTGAAAGACTTTCCATGAAATAACTGGCCTGTACTCTTGAAAAATGAAATGAAAAATGATTCAGAACCACTTGACAGTAAAGAGGCTGAAATCATTAGTGAATACAGTGCAAGGCCCTGGATTTTCTTTTGCTGAAGGATATTACCGGGATTTGGCAAAAACACACGTAGGCCCGTAGATTAGATAATTGTATTCTTTGAATGTTAATTCTCTGAGTTTGATCACTGTACTGTGGGTCAAGAAGAAAATTTCTTTCTAGGAAAAACACTGAAGCTTTTAATGGTAAAGGGGAGTGAATGGAGAAAGAGATCAAGTACAATGTTAACATTTGGAGAGTAGACAGAGGATATCTGTGAATTCTTTGAGCTGTTTTTATAATTTTTCTTCAACTCTAAAATTGTGTCAAATAATAACAGGTGGAAAGCTAGTAGCATGCCTATCCTGGCCTCCAAGGCCCTTGTGACCTGCCTTCCTCCTCTCCGACTCCCCCTCCTAGTGTTCTCACCCACAGAGGAGGACAAAATAGTTTTTCCTCTAACCTCTGTGTTTTCAGCTGAGACTGACCACTGTTGCAAAAAACAGATTAACAAGAAAAAACAAACGGAAGATTATTAATATGTCTACCTCATGCTTATACAGGAGATGCCCAGGAAAAATAACTAATTCTCAGAGGTGACTTACAACTGCAACTTGTACGGGAATTCTCCTCACCTTATTTTCAAAGACCTCCAGTGGATGCCTGAAACTGCAGATAGTAGTGACCACTGTATGTTTTTTCCCCAAAACATACATATATACACACCTGTGATAAAGTTTAATTATAAATCAGGCATAGTAAGAGATTAACAACAATCATAATTAACAGCTAACAGCATCCTCACTCCTACACTTTCAGGCCATTATTAAGTAAAATAAGGGTAACTTGAACACAAGCACCAGGACACCTCCACAGTGGCTCTAATAATTGACTGACCAGTGGGCAGGTGTGGAAGTGCTGGACAAAGTGAGGATTCACAGAAGCATGGGATTTTGCGATATTTCACCATAATACTCAGAATAAAGTGCAATTTAAAACTTCCAGATTGTTTATTTTTGAAATTTTTCATTCCATATTCTCAGACCAAGGTTGACCACAGGTAACTGAGACTGCAGAAAGCAAAACCTCGGATTAGGGGGTGGGGAGACTATCATGGCATCTTCAACAAAGGGGAGATTTTTAATGACAAGACAAAGGGAAAGGACTTTAGGGATAAGCGACAAATTGTGAGGTGCAAACAAATGGTAGATAAAGGTTAGTTTATTATGTGCATTCCTCCGGTGACTTCTCCAGGCCGATGGGGGTCGGGCTTTGTCTTCCCGTGATGAAACGTTGTCCTTCCTGGTAGAGAGAAGAAACAGAACCCTTTGTAAATTTATCTTCTGCTTTAGGCATGTGGGGTGAGGGCAGAGAGCTTTTCTTGTATCTGCTTTTTCCCAGTTGCCTTTAGTTTAAAGTTATTCTTATGCCATAGTTTCATGTTTGGGGTGGCACAGCCTGGTCTCCTATACATCCCACTCCAGCCACAGATATAATAAGGACTGTCATTTCTCTTATTTCCTTTGGTTTTATTCAATTATATTTCACATCAACAGTGAAAAATTAGCTCTTTCTTCATATTCCCATGTATTTTGTCATAGTTTGATGGAGTACAACGACAATTTTGAATATACATTTTGTTTTAAAATCAGGATTAATCTGACCCCAATTTGTGCCCATATTTGAAGGATATTTGTATATTTGAGGGAATTGTTGGGAGAAAACAGATGGCTTTAAAAGATGTTAAGGTTGCCCTCTGTTTCGACATATATTTTAATTTGATCTTTAAAATAGTGGTAGGTAGACCTGACAAGAGGTTATTGACTGTCTGTGAGGCAGTGTTGTTCTGGTTAATAACTGCCTTTGGGGCTGGAGCTGGGCAGCAGACGGCCCTAAAGTGTTGCACGTGTGGATTCCCCTGGTTTAAATACTCCCGCTGTGGCACAGTCCAGGGAAGCGATGTGCTTTTATTGGGAAGAGATGTGCGGCAGCCAAGATGTGCTTACTTAGGACCAAGCACAGTGGCTCAAGCCTGTAATTCCATCTGCTCAGGAGGCTCAGACAGGAGGGTTCACTTCAGGCCAGGAGTTTGTGAGCAGCTGATAGCAAAGAAAGACCCCATCTCTAGAAAATAATAAGTTAGCCTAGTGTGGTAGTGCTTAACCTGTAATTCAATTACCTGGAATGGTGAGGTGGGAGGATCTCTTGAATCCTGGTGTTTGAGGCTGCAAGGAGCTATGATCAAGCTTGGGTGGCAGAATGAGACACTATCTCCAAAAAAACTAAAAATAAGTAAATAATTTGTTTAGTTGTAAATTTATATAACTTAATTTTCAATTTTTGATTGTGTGTTTAACAACTAGCCCACAAAATTTCTAAAAATCTGGCAGTTGACTCTTAAGGACCAGTGTGAGCCAGCTCTGGCATTCTGCTTTGAGGGCACAAGGCAGTATTGGGAGGCAGTACAGAGGAGTTAAGATCTCAGTTTAAATTTCCCCTTTTGCTCCATTCAGTTGACACATACCACAGACCTTTGTGATTGAATTTGTAATTATTAATATTTGTGTGCAAACCTGAAATTTCATGACATATCATACTTTGTGAATCTGCTGATGCATAATTTTAATTGTATGTATCATTTATGCAAATAAAAGAATATGTAGCTGATAATTTTGTCTAATCATGCAGCGTCCAGATATCATAATTTTGATGTTTGCTACTTATCGACATTCATGTAAGTAGGAAGTGAAATTATTCATGGTGTTGGAAAATTTTCAGATACTGAGATTATGCTGTAATAATGTCACAGTGCCAACAGGTAACAGTTTTGAGGAAGTAGGTGCTTGGCCTATCTGGAAGTACATAGTATAATAGGATATTGGACTGAGGATTCGTAAGCAGTGGTTTTTCTAACCTCTGTCATAATGCTCAGTGATATTTTGTACATGTTCTTTTAACTCTAAACTCACTCTTCTTCACCTATGAAATAATACTTGTTGTATTTTTCTCCCAGTATGTTTTGAATATTGATGGTAGTGCTGAGCTCATATGGCAGGCCCTTTGCTAAGTGTTTTATGTGTATTTCCTGAGAGGTTAGTTATTGTTACTGTTTCCATTTTATATAAGAGGAAACTGTGACACAGAAAGATTAAGTAACTGATATGGTAAAATACTTTGTAATATAATTTGACCCCAGGCACTCTGGCTCTAGCCATTGCACTTTATCTCTAGGCTAAGTTATAAGATTTTTTTTAAGAAAAAAATTTTTTAAATCTTTTGTGGGTATGAGTTAATATTGTGTATTTATATATATTTCATTGAATTTTTCAGGACATAGAAACCAAATACTATTTAATATGGAAATTTATTAGTTGCAGAATAATGAAAGAACTATACTGTTTTTACATTTTATTACACACAGATTGTGTATTTCTTGTCTTTTAAGACATAGTTATATACAACAAAAGCCTTATAATTTCTGAAGCCATACATGTCAAAAAGGTAACTATATAGACAAGTTGAGCATAATCTTCAGGGTATTTACACACACACACACACACACGTATACATATATACATATACGAGAAACATAAATTAATTTTGTGTTTACACAAGATACCTTACGATGTATTAATATGTGCAAACATTTCCAAAATCTGAAAAAATGTGAAATCTTAAACTTTCTCGTCCTAGGCATTTTGAATAAGAGATACTCAACCCATACGTAGCCTATTTATTCTTCAGATACCATTACAAATGTGTGACATCTTTTAATAAAATGACTTTTTCAAATGTAACAATTAGGAAGATTATAAATTATATATTAAGTAAAAGTAGATACTCATTGTGCTATGATTAACAGAAAGAAAAAGAAAAGAAGTCCATTGTAGCTAAACATACCAAGTTTCTTTACTGTTTGGGGCAGTAAAGGTTAAGTTCATGGGTAGAGAAATAAGACCGCCTGAGATTAAGTCCTGCCTTTACCATTGTGTAAGCTGAATAATCTTCAGCTGTAAAATTATACCACACATTGTACCTCAATTCCTCATCTATAAAGTGGGAATAATAATGATACCTAACACATAAGTTTGTTGAGAGGGTTAAATAAGTTAGTGCATAAAAGCACTTAGAATGTCTAGTCCAGAAGAAGTACTCAATAAAAGATCAGGTGATTTTGTAATGTGTTTTAAAAAATAATAACCCAAGTTGAAAGTATGACAGTTCAGACAGTAACTGAAAGTTATGAAAGTTTTTTTTTATGTATTTACTGTAGGTTTTATTTCTTAGAGCGTGCAGGTGTCTGGGTGAGGACATACTTTCAGCCCTCAGGCTGCAGTTGACTTTGCAAGGGAGACTGTCTAATAACCCTCTGATGTCCCTTTCTGAAGCATGAGAGTGTGGTCACTTTTATATGAATCAGAAGACCTCCAATTGTGGCTTCCCTGACCATCTCTTTGATCCTTCCTAGAATAAATCAGTTTATATACACATAGAGTCACAACTTTTCATGATTGTTTAAAATTAGAAGAGTATATATATTTTACTTATTTGATAACGGAACCCATTCATGTCATTATTAATTAAAGACATTGGAAAAGCTTTTTAGCCAAGATTTGGATATAGCCCCATTCAATCAAAGAATGTGTGATAGTGCTTTTCTAAAATTATCTTCTGTCTTTAAATGGCATTTTTTAATCACCAAAATATTTGTAGAGCTGCTTATTGGGTACATATCAAAAACATTTATATCAGATGTTCACAGAATACATACTCCTTGATATCTATGCTTGACAGTTTTATAAAAAATTCAGATTATGTTTGTTTTTGTTTGTTTTGTCTTTTTTCCCCTGTAGGCCCTCCTGTCAGTCCTTCGAGAAAGCCATCGCTCAAGAACAGTTTTCAGGAAAGTTGGAGGATTTGTGTACATTACCTCCTTGCTTGTTGCCATGGAAAGATCTCTGAGCTCTCCCCCCAAGAACGGCTGGGAGAAAGTGAACCAGAACCAAGTGTTTGAGCTCCTCCACACTGTGTTCTGCACACTGACTGCAGCAATGCGCTATGAGCCGGCCAACTCTCACTTCTTCAAAACAGAGATTCAGTATGAGAAGTTGGCAGATGCCGTTCGATTTCTTGGCTGCTTCTCAGACCTAAGAAAAATAAGCGCCATGAATGTCTTCCCCTCAAACACACAACCATTTCAAAGACTTTTAGAGGAAGACGTGATCTCAATGGACTCGGTGTCACCCACTTTACGGCACTGCAGCAAACTCTTTATTTATCTTTACAAAGTAGCCACAGACTCTTTTGACAGGTAGGCCTCTGTCCTGTCCTCCCAGTTACAGGGTATGCTAAGCACGATTTCAGCATTAAGACGTAAAGTACAGCTTACCCATTAGAAAGTGAAAACAAATGAATCTTTTCTCCTATTTGCTTGAGGTGTGTCCTTTTATTTTTGAATATTACTGTTGCTCTGGTGGCAAGTTTTTTAGCATAGACACCTGTGTATTATTTGGGAATTCAGGTTCAGTTGTTTTGCATTCAGTGAAACAGTTTCTGTGAAGCTTCTTTTAATGGCGGTGTTTACTATTTTCTCTTTTCCTTTTTAACATCAGAAACATGGGGTGCATCTGGACTTACTGATATTTATTATCAACAGAACATGTTATAATTATTCACATTTCCAGATGTTCTGTGATTCTCCACATTTCATAACCCTCAAAAAATGATATAGCTCCTTAAGAGACATATCGGTGTCTTGACCCCCAGCCCAAGAGCCTGTCAGACTCATTTACTCCTTCATTATACCAGCATTTAATAAAACCTGTCACATGGCCAGTCATCTTGATAGGCATGGGGCATAAACAGCTCAAGTAACTACTGGATAGAGCTTTTAATAAGTTTTGTATCCTTTATGGTGGAAGGACTACTTTTTAAAAATATTTGCTAAGATAATTCTTCCTTGTTAACAAGATTTCTGGGTCCTTACTATTTAGATTTGAAAGTCAAAATATTATAAGAAAAGTTGTAAGAAATTATATTTTTAAAACTTTTCTATTTTTCCCTATCTGAAAGAAAGATGCATATGTATTAACTTACAGGAAATATGAAACAGTGTAGTGTCCTAGGAAAAGGCAATATAAATCGGTGTATTCAAATTTAACCTGTTTTCCTTTGAATTCTACTTATTCTAGCTAGTGTACCTCATTTTTAGTCACTTTGTCAAAAAATAGGGCTTCAGAAGAAACTGTTTGACAACTGTGTTAAGTGTTAACGGCACGGACTGGGCATCTCCTGGAGCTGCTGCTCCGCGTCACGCAGGGCGTGTGTTGTGGTCTTGGTCCTTGTTCCTGCTGAATATGGAAGGTGTTCCTTATTAAACTTGTACTGGCTTTTCTTGTGAAACTAACCTGTAGCCAGCCTGGGGTTCTCTTCTAACCTCTCTAAACGCCCCTGTCTGTTTTGTTGTCTGTAGTCGTGCAGAACAGATCCCTCCTTGCCTGACAAGTGAGTCTTCTCTCCCCTCTCCTTGGGGTACACCAGCTTTGTCCAGGAAAAGGTACTGATATTATAAGAGAAGTCAATCTATTTGTGTGGGGATTGATTTTTCCTCTGCTTGCTTAAAATGTTAATGTGGTCATTGTGTTTTATAACTTCAATTCTTTTTTTGCTATTTGATTTTTTTTTCCTTTTTAGGTTTTAAAAGTACCAGTTTTTCTTTAATATGTTTATGAGAGTAAAATATGTTGAGACTATGAAGTTATGAAGAATTTTGTCATGCATCTCAATTATTTAGACTAGACATGTTGCTTAGAGAGGAGGCATGCCTTTTATTAAAAGTAACTAGTTGTCTGAGAACTTTGATGCCTCTTCAGTAAACTATTTCTACCTTTTCCTTTTTTTCTTTTCTTTCTTCTTTTTTTTCTCTTTTTTACTTTAAATGTCAGGATAATTCTTTGGTTTTTATTGTTACTCTGAAATGAACTTCATAGCACTGGAAGGAAATGTGTATTTTCTCTGTCAGATTCAACCAGTTGAAGTATGCTATTGTAGAGATTTATCATAGCTAAACTTTGAAAAAGTGAATAATAAACCTGTTTCAGCTCATTCTTTCATCAGTTCTGTGTAAATCTCCAGGTTTATCTGGTTGATCTCATGTATTAAACTTTCCAATTTTTAAAAAGTGTAGTCATTTGACAAAAAAATACAATGAAGATCCATTTAAGAGTCTGTCTGAGCTCGGTGCCTGTGGCTCAAGTGGCTAAGGCGCCAGCCACATACACCTAAGGTGGCAGGTTTGAATCCAGCCTGGGCCCGCCAAACAGCAATAATGGCTGCAACCAAAAAATAGCCGGGCCTTGTGGCGGGCACCTGTGGTCCCAGCTACTTGGGAGGTGGAGGCAGGAGACTAGCTTGAGCCCAGGAGTTGGAGATTGCTGTGAGTGATACCACAGCACTCTACCCAGGGGGACAGCTTGAGGCTCCGTCTCAAAAAAAAAAAAAAGAGTCCTCTGCAACCAGCACATAAAATGATCATGGTCCACAGTCAGCACCAAATACTTCCCTTCCTTCTATTTTTCACATAACCAAGAATAAGTCTCTAACTTTTATATAAATACTCTTCCATTGTTCCTTTTTAAATAGGAATCCAGAGATTCTCCTATATTGCCGTTTTAATTTTATTGCTATTTTTGAGGTTCTGAAACTTGGATATTGTTGCAGTTAGTGAATCAGAAGTATTTGTTGTGTGTTTCGGCATATTTTAGTAGTAATATTCATGAAGGCCAGACAAGGTGGCTTACACCTGTAATCTCAGCATTTCCGAAGGATTGCCTGAGGCCAGGAGTTTGACACCAGCTTGTTCAAGATAATAAGACCCTCTGTTTATTGAAGAAAAAAAAATTAGCCAGGCGTGATTGTTTGTACCTATATAGAGTCCCATATACTTGGGAGGCCTATGTGAAAGACTTACTAGAGCTATGGAGTTTGAGGTTGGTTGCAGTGAGCTGTGTTCACTCTACTACATCAGCCTGGGTGACAGAGTGAGAGCTTGTCTCTGAAAAGTATATTTGTATATGTGGGAGGACATATTTTCCTTTTTCTCTTAGTTTTACACTGGGGCTTAACAGCTTTTTTCTTAGAGTAAACCATGGCATAGTTCAAACTGGTCTTGAATAAATTTAGGGTTGTTCAATATAGTATTTGTGCTTAAAACTGCTCTCTCTTCTTTTTAAAGAAGTATCAATTCGTGAAACCAGGAACAAGATAAATTTGACTTTTTTTTTTTTTTGCCCTGGTTAGAGGGCTGTGGCGTCATCATACATCACAGCAAACTCAAACTCTTGGACTTAAGCGAGTCTCCTGCCTCAGCCTCCTGAGTAGCAGGCTGACACCTGCCACATGTGTGCCAGTTTTTCTATTTTTAGTAGAGACAGCGTCTTGCTCTTGCTTAGGCTGCTCTCAAACTCTTGACCTTAGGCAATCCACCTGCCTCGGGCTCCCAGAGTGTTAGGATTACAGATGTGAGCCGCTGCACCTGGCCCAGATAAATCTGATTTGATTTAGTGTATTTTTTTTTTTTTGCTGAAATGAATGAGTTAGTACTTGTGTTTAAAGATTTGTGTGTTCCCAAAGAACTGCTGAATGTTAGAGAAATAATTTAAATTACTAGTTTTAAATCAGTATCATATTTTAAAAATATGATGATTATATCATAAATGGCAAAGGCCTAAAAATTGCTGCTTAAAAACATTTAGTCCTTTTTAAGTATTAGCCAAAAACTACAAAATAGAAATTAGTAATTTAAAAGGATACACTAAAAAAATTTCACCAGAACTTAACTATTATGTAAATGGTAATTTGAAAAAGGGAAGACAGCATTTTCTTCATTTTCCGAAAGAGTTACTTAAACCTTTAAATTTAAAAAAAAAAAAAATTGTCATATGGTGCATGTGATTGTAGAGATACCAGGTCTTTGACTTAAGGGAAAACTGTGGCTGAATAAACAAACCTGTCTGAGTGTGTCCTCATCCCTGTGAGCTGTTCATCAGTGTGACAAATTGGCAGAATCCCAAGGACAAAAACCTGATCCTGTGCGTGCTAATAGTGAAGTCAGTGTTGACACGTTCAGGCTGCCCTTCCAGTCAGGGGGCCTACATCACACACCCGTAAAGACTAGGACGTTTTTACTCCACAAATTCGAATCTAGTAACTTTTGAAACTAGAATTTAGTTCACATGATGTCTAGACTCTCTCAAGAAGTTACATCAGCTCATAGGCATCTTTTTCTTGTGGCAAACATGTTGGTTTTGTGGGCAAAGAGAGAAACCAACATTGTACTGTATGGCTCATGGAGCATTCAGATGTTAAGAAAATTTTGAGCTTGTGATACTTGCCTGAAATGTAAAATCCTAGAGAATTTTCTCTACTTATTTTAAGAATGGGGTTGGGGAAGAGCTAGTTAACCTCCTATTTAGAAAACTATAACTTACAATTTTCATTATTCAGAAGAATAATAGAACAGAATCATCACTGAACAGTGCTCAATCAGAGTTGGAGGAGGTGAATGCAGATAGTAATCAGAGCTCCACAGGGTATAACTGTGGTGGAGCAAGAGGTGGCGAGTACTAGTTAGTATTCAAATATGGTGTCCATTACTCAGTGCCTCTGCACTCTTGATGGGTAATTAAAGCAGATTCAGAATTTAAACGAGGTCACTGAGTCTTAAATATTTAGGTTGAAATATTTAAACTGGCTCAACGCCTGTGTCTCAAGTGGCTAAGGCACCAGCCACATACACCTAAGGTGGGGAGTTCGAATCCAGCCTGGGCCCGCCAAAACAACAATGACGGCTGCAACCAAAAAATAGCCAGGCGTTGTGGCAGGCGCCTGTGGTCCCAGCTACTTGGGAGGCTGAGGCAGGAGACTCACTTGAGCCCAGGAGTTGGAGGTTGCTGTGAGCTGTGATGCCACAGCACTCTACCCAGGTGGATAGCTTGAGGCTCTGTCTAAAAAAAAAAAAAAAAAATTTAAACTAATAGTTTTTATAATGTTTAAAAGTGAGTGCAAGATAAAAATTAAATTTTGAAATGTCATTTTATCCTATCTTTGCAAATGGTTAGATCTTATTTAGGAATTAACCATTTAATAAGCTTACCATAATCCTTAAAATTTTTTTGTCTTTTTTTTTTTATTAAGTCAAATATACATAGATCATGAATACATTCATGCATATGTGGGGTACAATGTGCTGATTTTTTAAAAAGTACAATCTGATGTGGTTAGATCAAACCAGTCAACACAGCTTTCACCTCATTTACTTGATTATTGTGCCAAAACATCTATGTTCTATACTTGACAGATTTGACTTGTACCCTTGTCATATGCTCCATAGGTGTGGTCCTGCCTTTTACCCTCCCTCTGTCAAACCTCCCCTCTTTCCTCCTTTCCCACTCCATTTCTCTCCTTCATCCTGGGCTAAAGTTGTGTTCTAACTTTCATAAGAAAGTGTGAGTAAATATAAGTAGGTTTCATAGAAGTCCCTAAATTTAAAAAGTGGTAACATCTGTGGTGATACCTAGATGACTTAATAAGAATTAACATTGTGTAACACCTGTTATAATATACCTTTTAGCTATTAAAATGCCATGTTTAGATTTCAGCAACCTTTATAGTATTCTATAATTAGAATAATTACATTTTGAATAATTTAGTGCATGAAAAAAAGTTTTGACTGCATTTTGAATGCAAACTGTCGCATGAGGGGTGGAATTGTGATGTCTTGTCAGTGCTCAGAAAGGTTTGGATCTTGGAGGATTTTGCATGTTCAGGTTAGAGGTACTCAACCTATGTTAGGAAAGAGTTCAGTGGCCAAAGACATAAAGATTTTTTTTCTGGGGATATCAGTAATTCTAATCCAAATCTGGATTAAATTGTTAGTTTATAAGCAGTTTTGCAGTGCGTGTAACTAAAATATAAAGTAAGAATCTGTGTGTGTGTTTAGTGAAAACATTTCTTATGAACTTTTTGAATTCAATAGTGAAAATTCCTGTTACACTATACAGGAATGATGAATCTTTTTTCAAGATGGATCAAAATATTTTAAAGAACAAGGTGAACAACGTAGGAAGCGGATATCAGTTGGTAATAAACATTTAGAAATCTTTTTCTATCGTAGGTTTAGAAATTAAATCTTTCTGAATGAAAAACAGTAAATACCGGGAATATAAACATGAATGGGTGGAAACATGCTGACTTAAATAAACTAGGAGAGCCCATGTGGTTTTTTGTAAGTGAAGCTGAATACTTTCCTAGAATCTCTGTTAAAAAGAGAATGTTACTTTTTTTAAAAAACATGGTCGTGCCAATTCTCTGCTACTAAATCACTGACGTAAAGCATCTGTTTCCCAAGCTGCTCTTGCTTTACCAGAGAGCTGAAACTGCATTGCTGTCAGTGACAGAGCTCAGCATTAGGCAAATTATGCTGAGACCAGCTCATAGGAACAAAGAGTTCCTATAGGCTGCAGCCCCAAGCATCTGTTTCTTCATGTCAAGATGCAAAATATGCAAAATTCATGAATTGTAGATGAGTAGCATGAAAGAGAAAGTAGAGATCATTGATGAGAAGAAGTGTGTACATTCAGGACATGGCCAGGCTTTCCAATTCATAGAAACTTACGTAAAATACGCCTTCTAAGTTTTTAAAAACTGTGATGAATATTTTCGCTAGGTGTGGGAACAGATGCAAGTGGTGAAGGTAGTTCCAAATAAACTAAAGAAAACTCCATGATACATTTGTTCTTAGGTAGCCAAGACTCTCAGCCAACCCTGGCTCAGTTGACCCAATGGTAGAGGAAGCCACTTTGACCTTGTTAGTTCTCGTTAGGCCACTTTAATCGTGGGCTAAGGAAAGATTAAAAACACATAGATAATTTCAAAAGAAAACAATCTCACGGAGGGACTTAATTTAACTTGATCTTTCATCACATGTTATTGGAAATTTCATCTTCCTAGAACTTTGAATCACTATCATTTTACTTTTTCTGGTACAGGTGTCATTTTTTAATGAAACAATCCAAACTAGTAAATGGCAGAGACTTATAAAGGCCAAGAATAATTGATAACTTGTCTATATGTGACTAAAGAGTTGATAATATATTGCTCTTTATATCCTAACCTTAAAATATTTCATAAACGATCCCCAAATTACAAAGTATTTTGCTTATCAGTGGATAAAAAGTAAGAGAAGATGAAAATGAACAGAGAATATGATTGGAATTAAATGCCAAATTTCTTCTTCTTTCTTTCTATGTAGACATGCATACCATTCTGTTTCAACTCCCCCTGTTTACCCTGCTAAAAATGTCGCTGACTTGAAACTCCATGTGACGACTTCATCTCTTCAGAGTTCTGATGCAGTCATCATCCATCCTGGGGCCATGCTTGCTATGCTGGACCTCCTGGCCTCAGTTGGGTCAGTGACACAGCCAGAAGTAAGCTTGGATATGTTAATTCCCTCGCATGTGTAATGAACGGAAGCATGTTGATGTGGTTCCGTGAGCCAGCGGGTCTGGGGAAGAACGCAGTGTGGGACTGTTACGTATCACTTACTAAAGTAGGGAAAGGGAAAAATAGGATCTTTTCTGTTTGCGTCTTACCTTTTATGATGAATGGTAGATACGTATGTTTTAGAAAACAATTCATTTGTTACAAAAGTGACCAAGACAGTTATCTCTGGTGCTATAATAATTCTGTTTGTTGTAACTCCTGCTTAGCACTGGACATTGTTAATAAATAAGAGAGAAGAAAAATAAAAAGACAGAAGGAAAAATGACTAAAGATACTACACTGAGACTGTTTATTTGTTTTGACTTATAGCACTCCAAAGTTTGGGTCAATCTGAGTTTGAGTGGCTATTTTTATTAAATGTTTTGTGGACTTTAAGGTCTAAACACAGGGGTGTCTAGCCTGCACCTCGTGGGCTGCAAGCTATTTGAGGACTGTCTTTCATACTTGTGGTGTCCAATATCATGTAAAGTGTGCATGATACTTTTTCTTTTCTTTTGTGAGAGTTAGCGGTTTTTTTGGTTATGAGACAGAGTTTCACTTGGTCTCCCTTGTTAAAGTGCTATGGCATCATAGCTCACAGCAATTTCTAACTCTTGGGCTTAAGCCATTCTCTTGCCTCAGCCTCCCATGTAGCTGGGACTACAGGTGTCCACCAGAAGGCCCGGCTATTTTTAGAGGCGGGGGGTCTCCGTCTGGCTCAGGCTGGTTTCGAACCTGTGAGCTCTGGAGATCCAAGATCCACGTTGACCTCCCAGAGTGCTGGGATTACGGGTTTGGCTCACACTCAGCCTAGTGTTTGTGTTTTGAATGTGTGGCCCAGGGTGACTCTTACTTATCCAGTTTGTAGTTAAAAGGAAAAATTTGGACCCCCTAGGCCTTAAAATATCACAGATGTAAACAGTAGGACTTTCTTTATATTGTCTATCTACCTACCATGAAAAGTCTTTATACTCACTATTTTTATATAAGTAGAACTACTTTTAGTTATATAGCCATGTAAGGCATTGGACTTGGAAGAAAATAAGAGTTCAGCTGGGAATAGTTTTAGCAAAATTAAAATAGAAGCATTTTACCTCACCTATTCTGTAATTGTTGTCTCACTTTAAGTCAGTTACTTAATTTATCTGGATGTGTTTTGAAACACATAGAGACCTCATATTAAGATGTGTGGTTCACGTGAACCACACTAATAACGCCTGTGTGTCCTGAATTTCTTCAACTCTAGCATGCTCTGGACCTTCAACTTGCCGTGGCAAATATTTTACAATCCCTGGTGCACACAGAGAGGAGCCAGCAGGTCATGTGTGAAGCCGGCCTTCACGCGCGACTGCTGCAGCGGTGCAGTGCGGCGCTGGCTGACGAGGACCACGTCCTGCACCCACCCCTCCAGCGGACGTTCGAGCGCTTGGCCTCTCAGGCCCTGGAGCCCATGGTGCTGAGGTCAGTGACATCTCTTTTTCATTCTCAGTAGGCCATGATTCGTAAGATGAATTTCTAAGTCTTTATGATTCTTGCTTTAAGAGGCATCTATTCAGTTGTCTGTGGGCAAAACATAAGAGAAATGGATAAAATGCTCAAAATATAGCATTTAGAAACACATCTGGTTATTAGCAGTCATTTAAAGTTTCTGCCCATTCATTATTTCTTCCACTTGAATGTAGCCAACTCTCACTTTCTTTTAAAAATAGTCCAGGTGCAGTGGCTCATGTCTGTAAATCCATCATTTTGGGGAGACGAAGGTTGGGAGATCACTTGATCCACGAGTTCAAGACAAGCCTGGATAATAGAGTGAGACCATGCCCCTACACAAAAATAAGAAAAATTAGCTGGATGTGGTGGTACGCCCCTGTGGAGAGACTGAGGCAGGAGGAGACTGGGCATCCCTTATGCCCACAGCTATATGAGCTGTGATCATGCCACTCCACTCCAACCTAGGTGACAGAGCAAGACCCTGTCTTGAAAAAAGATAAAGTCATGTATAATAGTATGTGGCTTATATCTACTTTGTATTTAACAACTTTTTGCCTGTAAGAACTTTTTTAGAAATACCTCTAACTTTTTTACTTTGAAATATTCACAGATTCACAGTAAGTTGTAAAGATGGATCAGAGAGTTTCCTTGTCCCCTTCATCCAGTTTCCTCCATTGGTTATACCTTAGGTAACTATAGTACAGTGTCAAAGCCAAGAAGTTGATGTTGGTGTGAAGCATTTACGTCTGCATACACTTCTCAGTGTTGCATCACCTGTAGAGACTAATGTAACCACTTGTTAGTCAACATGTCACAAGATCTTCCTAGTGCCTCCCCTGGATTGTCATGCCCGCTCCCCTAACCCCCACCATTCCTAACCTTTAGGGACCACTGATCTATTCTCCGTCTCCATAGTTTGGTCATTTAGAAAATGATAACTAAAATGAAATCATGCAGTATGTGATCTTTTGAGATTCTTTTTTCACGTACTACAATGCAGAGATGCATACAAGTTGTTATAAGTATCAGTGTTTTTTTATTACTGAATAATTCCATAATATGCATGTACCACAGTTTGTGACTCATTCAAGAAATATATACATATAATACATACATATTTCTTTTAAAATAACCTTCTTAATACAAGGGAAATAGTACTGTATGTTTTAGTAATGAAATTTGTCTATTACTATGTTAAAACAATTTTTTTTATATTTTCCTTGATATTACCTTGCCAAATACACTTAATACGTAAATAAATCATCTTGTTTCTCTTTAAAAAAATGCACTCATACATGTTATCACTTTGGGAATATAAGCAGATCTCTTTATTAGGTTGTATTTTTTTCTGCTGTTGAAGTTTTATAAATCTAGGTGGCGCCTGTTGCTCAAAGGAGTAGGGCGCTGGCCCCATATGTCGGAGGTGGTGGGTTCAAACCCAGCCCCCGCCAAAAAAAAAAGTTTTATAAATCTTCTAGGAACTTTTCTTAAAAATGATTGAAATTAAACTGACTCCACATTGATGATAGATTAAGAAAAACTTACACAGTAAACATTTGTTAAACTATGTCATGTCAGGAGCATAGAAGCTTGAATGAAATGAAGATGAATAAGACAGTCCTGTTACTTCATCCTATCGTAGGATTTATTCATAGTCCTAAAGCTTTGAAAACAGCATTTAGATTTTCCCCTGGTCCTTTTTGGAATTCTGCTATTTGAATAGTAGAGAAACAGAGAAACTTTCTCATAGCTAATATTAATATTTTACCAAATAAATTATATCACATAGTTAAACAGATTAAACAATAAGAAATCAACTATTTGATTATGCTCAGTTATTGAATGAATTCACAGAAAGGTCAAATGATAGATGGTATAAGTATATTGCTACTTACAAATCATAGATTATAAGTTAATTGTAATTTCTACATGACAAACTAGCAAAGAGTATTTGGTTTTTAAACCTCATTTTCTTTTTCCGGGCTGGAGGGAATTGAAAATTCAGAGGAAAACTTTTTTTAAAAAAACAGAATGTCATAAATGACAGGAAATGGAAGAGTCATAGTCTCAAAAAATATATAGCTTAGTAAGAAATAGTCTGATAAGCTGCAAATTAAAATATTACTTAAGTTCTGTAACAGCAGTGTTGTGGAGTTTACATAGGAGCAGCTTACCCAGACTTTTGGGGAAGGTAGGTCATCGCAGCCTTCCTGGAAGAAATGACAGTTGAGAAAGTTTGGAAGAGCGTGAATTGGATGAAAACGTGGAGGAAGAATATTCTCAGCAATAAGAAAGACAAATATCAAACATAATCGTCCAGAGTACAGAAGGAGTTTACAGTATTCTTAATGATTCAGAAATTAATTATGTCTTAAATGTGTGCTTGAGGAAAAATGAAGGTGGAGAATAAAGTAGAAATCTCCTGGTGACAGTGTATGCTGGCCGTGGTGGAGTTTGGGTCTCCACCTTCTCCCGTGTGACAGTGTCTGCTGGCC